GGTATTACGACATTTGCTGCCACGTGAGTTTCTAATGACCAAGAACTTAACTCCCCACATAGATCATGTGCTGATGGTGGTGTCCACATGTTAGTAGTCGGTCATGAGTATTTATAAGAAATAAATAATTTAGTTTTTTCTATTTTATAAGAAAATTAAGGAATAATTAATGAGGCGATCGAAAGAATATTATAAGCCTGTGATCACCGCTTTCCCCGCCGTGAACAGCGGATAAATAGCGAAGCTTGCAGGTGAAAAATAAATAAATTAATTTTGAAACAAAAGAGGGATTAATTGTTGGTGACTTGGTGGGGTACAAGCAACGTGAGGGCCTCTATCCATGCCATGGTTTATTTTTGTGGAATTCTTGTTTTAGAAAATGACGCTTCTAACCATGTAAATATATGATGAAAGCAGCCACTCATGGTGTTGTTTCTGAAGGTCGTTTTCGTAATTGTGCCATTTCGTGCCTATTGATTGGTTTCCATCGACAACATAGTTTTTTGGTGGCATCCATGATCCATCCCTAGGTCTGGGGGACACAGGCGCACAGCTCAGTGCCTCACTCACAAGTCACTACTCACTAGTACGTACAATTTATACGGGGTCTCACATGATATTAAATTAAATTAATTAATTAAATCTTTAAATCTTGTTGCTGTTATTGGTGTATCCAATTGCTTCAGAAATTGGAAATTTCTCTCAACTGCCCCTATTACATAAAAAAAAAAAATCCACGTCTGCGCCCATAGAATACACCTCACAGCACATCCCAACCGTGCATGTGGGACGCCTGTGGGGCGCCATTGTAAACCCTAGGGGTGAGCAATCGCTGGTTTGTAGGGGTGAGCAAGAAAAACCGATAAATCGAATAAAAAGCGGACGGTTAATTAAACTAACCGATATATATGTATATTATGTATATTTATGTATAATATATATTTATAGTATATAATATATTATTTATTATTTAAAATATAATATTTGATATATATATATATATTTCTAATATTTTATTATATATTTATTCTTTATAATATATATTACAAATAATAAAAAACTAACAAAACTGATGATTAACCAAACCAGTCAATCGATTAACCGATCAACTTCAGTTCGATTTTGATTACCCGTTTTTCGAAAACCAATAACCTCAATTCAGTTTCAAAAATAAGCCCATAGTTCGATTAACCGAACCATGAGCACCCCTAGTGATCTGAAAAACCTACTAAACCTTATTTGTGCGATTCAAGAAAAAATGGAATCGACTTTTTCCTTTCTCAAGTGAGCATTTATTATATTATTAAAAACAATATGGGTTAGGGGATGCATGTGATGTGCTTCCATTTTAGATTGTAAACTGATAGGACCCATTTACATGTGTTGGATTAAGTGGTTCTTCTGGAGCATATGTCGGTGTATATTGCAATTAATAAGAATGGTGATCTAGTAAGTTTGAAATGGGGAAATAACTTGTAGTATTTAACACAAAATCTTTGCGTTTGGAGGTCATCTTGGGAACGCAAAATTGGTTTAGTGTTAGTGATGATACATTGATGCACCAAATAAAAGTGTGTTAGGGGGAGAAACACAACATCTACTGATGCATGCCTGTCTTAAACCAGAATATGATGAAAATGAACTCCCTTTCGTTTTAGACTTTAGTGGAGAAATATCAGAACATAATAATTCTAGTCATTATCATGACTTAACGTTTCTGACTGACCTACAATTAGTCCAATTACAGACAAGTTTGCATTGAACTAGTCGCACAGGACAGCACTAAAACTTTATGCTGCATTTGGAAACCATACAAATAAGTGTGAATGCAAATATGTAGAGTGTAAAGCGGTTTATATAAATTGTAAAAATTGGTTAGTTTAGTTTTGCACTGACAAATTTATCTTCTTACCAAACAGATTTTTAGCTATAATGGATATAAACATGAATTCCAATAAATCATCTGCTTTTTTTTTTTTTTATCAAAAACTCACTTGAATGCATATTTACTTCTTTTTTATTGATGTACTTTTTACATCTTGTTATCAATGTAAATATGCATTGATTTGTTATTTGTCAATGCATAAATGTAATACAGGCAAAAATGAAGCAGAGTGCAAATTTACTCTGAACCGTGATTTATATTGTTTCCAAAAGCAGCATTAAGATCAAATCAATAGAAGAAGGAAAATGCAGAGAAATTAAGATCAGTATATATGCATAGATCCATCACCCATTCCCACAGTTTTTAGTGGGTGGGTACGTAGACAATATCAATTCAAAAGCTGCGTACTTGTATAGATAACTCAGCATAACTTGTAGTTAGGAAAGTAAGCATATACAGTGAGGCAAGATGAGGTACGTGTACCAGACCACCCCAAGTCCATAACAAATAGCACTACAACAGGATTAATGAAGTAGTATTCAAGGAGAGGATGGTCAAAAAGGAAGGATGAATATAAAAAGTTGATGTGTTGAGTTTTTGCGTAAACCATGGGTTTCTCTTTTGTTTATCACTTTTCATAGATGCTTATTTTTTAAACTATCTACCTATCTTCTTTCAGCCCACCATTCATAAAAATTTCCACATATACCTTGGGGTTGACATGCTACCTCCCTCTCTCTCTCTCTCTCTCTTTCACACACACACACAACCCACGAGGATATAATAGCATATTTTCTTACGGAGATGGGAATTGAACTAATAAAAAGTACCAATTTCTATTGCTCTATGAAGTCTTTCCCTATTTTAGAGTCTGGTAGGGAAGATGATAGATAGATGTGTATAATTAGATAGGCAATAATTTTCAAGCATTCGGCATTTCAGCTAACACTTTTATTTTTTTTGCTCGTCCATTTCAGCTTAACACTTATGGTCCTATTGCTATACGTACCAACTACCAACTCTTCCCCCTCCCCCTCCAAAAAACAGAGAAGGGTTACTTGCTTTTCATTTTACCAAAACAAGGACTTGATCAAATGACTATATATTTACATAGTCAATGCTTTTTTTCTCTATATATGCTGATAATCCAGTATGGTGTAGACAACCGTTCACTTCTGAGTTCTGCCCCCTAAGAGTCATTTGACCAAATTAACAATTGAGCCTTACCATTAACCCGAGTGCCTTCATTACTTGCACTTGCACTACTTCTTCTATCAATCAATTCTCTGTAAATTGAATAAAAAGTATACAATATCAACAAAATTGACCAAGGATGTACCTATATTTAATTCGATTTTGCATTAAACATTGGAATTTATACTGCACCATTAATTTGTTTTTTAATTTTCAAGTTAACAGTTGGAAGCCACCTATAATTAAATAATTTTACTTTACTATTTTATCTTATTTCACTATTCCAGGCTGTATAAATTTATCATCTACAGTAAATACATCTTAGGGATTAACAAAATACATAAATTTTGATTCAATCTCTATTTGCATTGTCATTCTTTTGACTCCGTTTTCGAACCTTAGATGGGTTGGCATGAACCGAGTTACCGAGGAATATCTTGCTTCTCACTACTAAAATCTCTCAAGCTTCTTTCACACCACTCCAAAGTGTAGCGGCCCTAGTACAGTGCCACATAATTCTTCCTCTTCTTGGATTAAGAGAGATGGGTAGGGCTGGGTGAGAAATGGATCTATGACAACATCCATTGGAGGGTTATGAACTAAGCCAAAAAGGGGGAAATGTGGTTTCATACCTTCGAGATAAAGGGGCAATAAAGGAAAAAGTGGTTGACATTTCTCATTGCTCTAGAGAGCCAAAATAAGGGCAAGAGCACCAGATTTTACATTTTCTTTGTCACATCTCACCCATGTTGATGAAGATAATCTTCATTGCTATCTAAGCAAAAGTGCTTTGATAGGGAACAAGTTTGAGATATGGGGTTTATACATCAAGGGTCAGAAAAGAACATGCACAAGTAAAAAAACCCTTTTTAAACCAAGATTTTTATGAAAAATAAAACGGGAATCATTTGAGTAACTTGGTAGATCTATATTGATTGGAATTAGACCTGTTCATGGGTTGGGCTCGGGTCAAGCTTTTACTCTGTATTAACAAATTTCTCTAAGGCCCAAGCCCGAGCCCGGCCTGACCATTGGGCCTACAACTTGGGCCCGAGCCTGGGCCCGAGCCCAAAATTTAGCCCATGTTACTACAGCTGAAACAACTGAATAGAGAGAGAGAGTGAGAGAGAAATTATAAAGAAAAAATAAAAAAATGTATATATTAAATTATAAATATATATATTTCAATAAATATTATATTATTTATATATTTTATATAATATATAAATTACATATTTTATAAAATACATAATGCTGAGTCAGATCGGGCTGGGCTTTTTTGACAAATCCTGAGCCCGGTCCGTAACACAATCGGACTTACTGTGTTGGGCCCAAGGTCAGGCCCGCGGGCCTAATTACATGACCAAGCCCGACCGGGGTGCGGGCCGGGCCAGGCTGGGCCATCGGGCTACCCAGACCATAAACAGGTCTAATTGGAATGTAGTTTCGTGGATAGAATGGTAAACCCAAAGCATGGTTTTCAAAACTGGACTGGAAAAACCGGAAACCGGTCATCTGACCAGTTCCGTTTTCCCCCAAAACCATTGATTTTGGTCAGAAAACCGCTGAATCGGCCGATTAACTGTTTGAACCGTTCAAACGGTTTTAACCATTTTCCAATTTTTTTTTGTCAGAACGGGCCAGCCGTTCGAGTCGAATGGTCGGACCGTTCAAACCGATAACCGGACCCCTGACTGGTTCGGTCACCGGTTCGTTCTTAAAAACCATGACCCAAAGTGTAATTTAGGTATTTGACCAAAACCCCAGAGGAGATGTAAGTATTTAACTCAAAATACACATGTTTGCTTTTATAGATTGGATGCCCTGCATCGTTTACTCTCAAGTCGTTGGGAGTAACAGGATTCCTTCCTAAACAATAATCAATAATGCCATAAAAACATATACATTCAACAATTACAAATAATAAAAATGAATGATGAACTCTTTAGGAATGATTGTCTTTACAAATATTGGACTCACTCCCCAAGAATACAAATGATGCCATAATCACTGCCAATTTAATTTGATCAAATGAAAGAATACATTCATGTTTGTGCATGATAATTGATTTTCAGAGTAAAATGGAACAATATGGTGATAATCATGGATTCACCAGAACTGATTTGGATGCATCCAGATGATTAAGACGACATGTTCCTAGAAGGAACTCTGGTAACTCCTCTTGCGTGTTAGCCTGCGTTAGCGGCAATAGACGGTTAAAAAATGAGAATGGACAAATTCATTGAAAAAGGTACGTTGTAGATCTTCCTAAATATTATACACAAAATAAAATGCCCCTCCCCACTCCTTGCATGGGAAAATGTATCAATGGAGCAAAGAAGAAACAAGACACCTATAAAATAAGTGTGGTAGAAATCAGGACCTAAGATGAATGCATGAGAACTCTGTGATCAATAAGTGGAGAAACATGGAGGCAAGCCATATCAAACAAAGGCCAATAAATGCAATAATGATAAGTAAATAGTGATACACTACAAGATGAACCTTCTAAGAGGACAATGGGGAGCCAAAGAAGATGAGTCCAAAAGGTGAGAATAGAGTTAAAAAGTGCAATCTTTAACAGGAGATGTTAGCTGAGATTGAGCAGAATGGGAGATCCATTGCAACTGATCCACATAATTGGGAGATGGGAGGTGATGATGATGACGACAGCAATGAAGACAACAACAATCACTTGAGCATTATGAAAGATTTGTGCAGCTGATCCATAGAAATGGGATATGGAAGCTTTGGTCATAAATAGTGCTTATACTGAAAGTATTTACCAAGATGATAATTACCAAAAGCGAAGGATCATGAAAATATAATATTTTACCTGTATCAAAAATGCCATTTCTATAACCAGATTGTTCAGGTACCCAAGAACAAGACTGACCACACCTCTTGCAACACTTGATGACCCAATATCAATTCCAAGCTGAAAATTTAGTTACAAAGACGGTTAGAACAAGTGAAATGACAAATCTTGAATTTTTTTTCACTCTGGCTGTCTGCTTTGCAAGCATATCTACCCATATGTGCACACAGTAACTGCATTGCTGCTAGATGCTATGTTGTGTCAGACACATTTAGTTACATTTAGTGCACAATAACCTGTCCTTTCATGCTCCTACGATACCCGGGTATTGTAGGAAAGAACCCAATGCCAGAAACTATAAACCACAACACAACACCATTGAATGGACCAAATTCATATTATAAAATGTCCAAAAGTCATAAAAACAGGTATATCCCACTGGCCACTTCCATGTTCTACTGTTACAATGGATTGTGTACATTAGTCATTTACCTCCAAGTAGTTTTTCCCATGAAAATAGTTGATCTTAAGTGCTTGACCCACCAGGCATGCTTTCTTCCCAACACTTTGCTTTACTATCCATGACCCCTAAGAGAACAAACACCAAAAATAGAAAAAGGAGTCAACTGTGGATACTGTAGTTTTAATGGGTTCCAGGATATGATACCCAGATACCTGCACAAGGGTAGTGTGTCATGTTAGATACTTCAATTTTTAGTGTAATTTTTGTATCCAACACTGTCCCATTGTGTCCTTGTATCAAAGTAAAATAGGTTGCAGATCATAAAATTTAAAAGAATGCCGGGCTGCATATGCATATGCAGGTCTTTGATCTGTGTGGGAGTGTGCACAGAACGTGTAAGGAACTTAGCCCCACATGGGAAAGTATGATTTTCAGTGCATAAGGGGAGATCTCCCCACAAACAAGGTTGGACTTGGTTCATATTTATGAATGCACCATTCTACACTGAAAAATCTACCACCTCTCTCTCTCTCTCTCTGATGTCTTTTTTTTTTCTTCTGTTATTCCTAGATCTCAACAAGAAGGCTGATCTGTAATCCAATTCAGGAGTTTTGAGGAAAAAAAATCTTCTCAGTGAGGAGTTTTCAGGTGCTGAAAGTTTCCTCAATTTCCCTCATCTCATTCTTTTACTTTTATCTTTGCAATCAGACTCTTTTCTTTTTTTCTAAGAAAGTTCTTATTTTGTAGTCGATCAGCAGAGAACACCATCTATAGTGCCAGTAAAAAGAAGTGATCTTTTACAAGTTAAAGAAGCTAGAAGAGCTAGGGGCAGACCAAAAAGGGCATGGGTTGAAGTGGTAAGAAATGATTTAAGGATTCATAATTTAACAATGGATATTGCAATGATCAGAGCAGAATGGAAAAACAGGGTTCGTGTAACCAATCCATGGTTGGGACAAGGCTAAGGGGCTGTTTGATAACGGCTGAAGATGCTGAACTGAAAAGCTTATTGCTTTTTCTTTTAGTGAATAAGTTATTAAGGAGGTTGTGGGCTCCTTAATCAGCCATTATCAAATAACCCCTTAGATGATGATAACCAGAAAAGATAACGGAAAGACTGACAGCAAGCCCTTCTACTGTGAATTTATTTTGAGCAATGATGAACACTAAATTTTTGGCAATAAAATGTGAAACTTGACTTTTCTAGAAACTTCAGTTTCATTCTGCTATGTTTTGAGGGTTGAGAAAAAATTGAATAGCTTCAGTTGTTCTTTATACTAACCTTAGAAATGTAAGGTATGATCTTAAACCTTGAATTTCTGTAAGTGTCATCTCCATTGACAAAGCTCTCTAGCAAGGGAGTGTCCTCCAAAGGAGTACTCATCATGTAATACAGCACAAGACTATATTTAGTAGAACCAGGCACCTAGTTCATGACATCTCTGCTAAATATTATGACAGTTGAGGATCCCATGAAACACTAGAAAGGAAGAAAAAACAAAAAGATCACATGAGAGTAAACACAAAAATACTTTTACCTGTATGTTGACAATGAAGAAGAATTCTGGACCACCCTTTGTTGCAGATTGCTGCATGATTCCAACGTTTAGGTTATAAGTCAATCATTTGTTAATATAATATTAAACCATTATGTGTTCATACATGTTTATGCCGCATGAGAAGCAGTCTTGGTCCATAAAAAGAATCATGTAATTATAGATCAACCTGAACAATGCCCCCAGGACGGCCACCAAGATCATCTTCCCTCTTATCAGATTTAAGCCAATCTGCACCAACCATTTGCATCAAGGTTCCCTTTGCCTTCATCTGGTAATAAGATAACAAACAGATTAAAAATATGAAAATACAAATCAAAGCATAATATGTACCATCAATACCAAAGTGGATCTACATCAAATAGAAGCAATTTGTTTATTCTTTTCTTTAAATGTTCTTTACAAATTTCAGCTTCCAAACTAGCATAACAACTGCACCTTCTGATGATCTATTAAATAATTATCTCCACGTATTAGAAATGTTGAAGGATCAGCTGTCGTCCAACTACAAGCCAAGTTACAACATGAATCTTTTGGAAGAGTGGCTCCATAACAGCATGATATGCTGTCTTCCCTTGCCATCTCTTGTAAGTCCATATAACCCCTCTTCTGAACTGCAGCATATAGAAGGCTCAAGTTATTTCGTAGACCATAGACATCCAAATGATAAGGAAAAACATGCCATTCATTTATCATTATGGTGATATTTCCTCAGATGCCAAATCATGCAATTTTTTCACAAAACCTCTTAGTTGATCTAATAGAACTCACCTGCTAGATCATGCAATTTTTTCACAAAACCTGTGGCTGTTGATAATTTAGGATGGCGTAAGTCCTGGAATTGTCATTGTTAATAGAGCCATATGAGAACAGAAGAAGTTAAAGAAGTTACAAGATTTCCTAAAAGCAGAGTAGATCTGGAATAGTACATGTGGCACACAATGGGGATTGTAATTCAGGGATCTTACCATGGTCCTCCCAGTAAAACAAAATTGATAAATTGGATAACTGAACCATCTTAATTCTAGATTACTTAATGTTGGTCCCAGTTATGTAGAGTCTTGGGAAGGGTGTACTGGATATGGACCTAACATTGGCTTTTTTTTTGGACAAAGCAGCCACTCTCTCACACTTGAACCTGCATTCTCAAACTTGTCAGCTTGAGATTTTACCATTACACCAAGCAATGACTCCTTGCAATTGATTAAAGTATATGACTAGAAAATCTTTGAGGCAGAAACAAATAAACACATTGCCCACATGAATGCAGCATATAGAAACAAGGAGGATGGCTACCACTGCTCCTTTACAAAAGTATAAATCTTATGTTTAATAAAAAAATTTTCATGTAGTTCTGAAATTCCTTTTGTACTTACATATTAAATATTTTTGAGGTGCATTTTAGAAGGAAATGCAGCAGTAGGAATTTTGGACCTATAAATCATTGTAAGGAAATTCATGACCAACATCAACAATCCCCTCAACCAAAATATTAAAAAAAAAAAAGAACAAGAAGTCAAATTATGGTGACTTAAATTTCATTTCCATTTAATAGAACTAGAGGATATTATTGGCTTGGACTGATTTAAAGGTAAAGACAGATTGAAAGGTCAAGCACAAGTTCAGGATCTATGCTTCTGAAAAAGCAAACGATTTGCCTCTTTAAAAAACAAGTAAAACATCAAAGTTCTCTAAAATGTACCTGAGGATGTATTTCTGGACTCATATTAGAAGACCATCCATTCTCTGATGGATCAAAGTCTGATGGTTCAGGAACATCAAAGAACTCATCAGCCACATCATTAAGTACCAGAAGACTAGCAGATTTTGAAGATTGTTTTTCCACCTCTTCTTTCATCAAATCAACTTCCTTGGTCATAATATTCTCTGATGGTGTCTGGACTTCAACCTTGAGATCCTCTATTTCATTCTGAGGCAATCCTATACATTGTGTCAACTCTCCTGATGAGAACTCAAAGGAGGGGTAATTTCCTACTTTGGCTTTGAAGAATTCCCTCAGTGCTGCAGGCACAAAAATCATGATGCAACTCAAGTAATGCCCTGAAACTTCATGAGCCAAAAACCTAGGAAGAATGAAAAGTGGAACTGAGCTTCATTAATAAAGAAGAACAAGAACAGTACCTGCAATTCTCCCAAGCATTCGGATGGTTATTGACCTCGCAGATGATGTACGTATATAACACTTCCAGAACCTCCAGTCAATGGCAAGCATGTGCTTTACAACAGATTGTTTCCCTTGGTTCACTGGAGAAATTACGTATCCTCCACCTGCAAAATAATTAAATATTCATGTTGCAGTTTTCAGTCTCAAAAATTAAGAAAATATTTAAGTATAAAATATAAGTATGAAATAAGTATAAAATGACATAACATGAGCAGACGAACTTCAATTTCAAAAATGGTAATAAAGAAAAACATTTGATTCATGAGGCAAAGGAAGAATAACCGACCGCAGTAGGACTGGATCCACCATTTGTTGGATGGTCAGCAAATAAACCTAATCTCTTGGATGGTCAGAAAATAAAGAATGGCATAGAGAGTTCAATGGACAGTTACATTGATCAATCAGACCACTTCTAATCTCAGAAGAAAGCCCTAACAGTATGGAAAAACCACTTCTAGGGATGGCAACAGATCAGGTTTGGTGCAAACAGCAAATGAAATGGCAGACACTTCAGCCAAACAAGGGGCTTATAAGACAGCAATTGTTTTGGGAAAAACTGTAAACTCTTGTTGTTTGGGGTGGAATTTACACCCCCCCCTCCTGTAATCTTTAAGTTTTCATTAATAAAATTATCTACTGATAAAAAAAAAAAAAAAAAAAAACAGATCAGGTTTGGTGCAGGCTGGTTCACTCTAATACCAAACTATATCAAACCCAATCTCAGGAGTTGCCCAGTCTACCTTACCATGGGTTGGGGTAGGATATGGTGAGAAGAAAAGATGGGGAAAGGGAAAAAGGAATACAAGAAATGCTATAAAACGACACCAGAAAGCACAACCATGAAGTCAGTGCCATTACAGACAATGGAACCCATTAAAATATAGGGCAACCTTTTTCTTTTGGTGTTTTTCATGGTGCTCACCAGATGTATGGCTGTGCTAATGTTGGGTGATGCACCCCAGTTTTGCAGCTTGTGCTTGGTAAAATTTGTTATACTCACGTAAGTAAAACATGTGCCCATCCACACTCACACAGATAAAGACAGAAGGACGTCCTCCAGGCATCCATGCCTGCCTGATGCAAATGACCCCAAGGGTAAGTGGGCACTAGTGTGTATTCTTTTTTTCTTCTTTATTAAAGCCCAATGTACCAGGATTTTTGAAAACCCAACCTTGGAATGAATAATGTGAAAACCAGCTTAAAAAACCAAAGCAGCTCCAATCCTGACCAACAACCAAAACTGAACTGGGTAACCAACTTAACCAGCCTCATTGTCATTGCTAACCATTCTTTGTGCATTTCATGAGGAACAGAAGCAGGGAGGCGGCTTACCAGCTGCTTCTTTTGTTCCAATCCAGGTGTAAATATTAAATGTCAGATAATTGAAATAAGGTTGCAAAAGAAAGATGGTTTAACATGAAATGGAAATAAGTATCATAGTTTATGCATTGGAGTGCATAAGAATGACATAGATTATACACAGTTCTAAGCTTCCCAAAATTCTAGTACATTCTATTCCATAATTGTCATACTTGGAGGCCTCCTAATCCTAGGCATTTTAAGCACCAAAAAAGCACAAAAAGACTAGAAAGAAGATAAATATTATCCATTTCTAAATTCAAGCATACATTACTTTTAAGGCAGGCCCGTACATAGCCTTTCTGAGGTTGACATTTTTTCTGAAACACTGAATGGTAGAGAATTACTGCAACAAAAGAGAACCCAAAGATTTAGTATCCGATGGAATGATTTTGGTCATAAATGACCTTCAAGAAAACTTAATTATGAATTACTACCATATGTTCCATCATCCTCCCTTCTCCAATAACGCTTCAACAGTAAATCTCTCTTTCTCATTCCCCTGCAAGCCAACTGTGATATAAAAACTATGAACTACAAAGGAATCCTCTTTATGAACTAAAACGATAAAGAGGTTTTGGATCTGACCAAGGTAACCAATTGTCATTCAACTGTTTGTGAATAATATCAGTATGACCATCAAGGTGCTCAACCACACTACCCCGGTAAATACAGAAGTCCCATCTGTCAAAAGGAGATAGTACATTAAAGGAGATAGTACCTTTGAAACAAAGTACTCCATTCTTGAGGAATAAAGGCAACACATTGATGCAAGTGTCTGATCATTAAAAGATTATGTGTTCCTTTGCTTTTTCTTATGACCAATCTATTAATTTGAATCTGGATGCAACTTTTCCATATGCCAAGTTTCTATGAGTTAAAACTAATAATAGTGATGCATTTCTTACCAATCAAAAAAATAATGATGCATTTCTTGACATCATATTTGTTTATGGACACTTGTAACAAACAGTTTAATAGGACATAATTACAATAATTGCCATCCCCTACATACTAGTGGTACATGTTTTTCAATTTGCTATGTTTGTATATTTTTTATATTACCATATGGCCCAGTGTATGAGATAAAATGTAGTGATCACGATATAAACTGTGTATAACACACCTTTGTGTACATTTTAGAATAGAAATAAATAAAGGTATGTGCCTATGTTTCCATGTTTCCGACATGTCTTGACAAAAGTTCCATGTCAACAAGCATCCAACATACAAAAAATTATAGGGAGAAATATCCCATAAATCATAGCCAATTGAATCTTCCATCAATTAGACTTGTTACATGCGGCCTTCAAAAATGTCATTCAATTCATAAGGGTCTGATGGCTGGAAATCTGCTGCTTCTATTTTACTTATTTATTCTTCTTTTGTGAAATAGAGAGATTTTCATGAAAACAAAAAGGAATTACACAAAGGTATTCAAAAATACACAAATGAACAGTAGCTTATTGGTTCTTTTTCTTTTCCTCTCCAGTTAAGGATTACATGATATTTTATTAGTTATTTTCATCATTTTCTTTTCATTATAATAGATAGTCCATTGACTGCATTTATATGCACCAATGTATGGTAGAGAACCATGCTTCACCATGATATTAATGATGTAATGGATCTTATATAGTTTTCATAAGAAATCCAAAGTCAGACCAGAGATAATAGAAATTGCATCCATCTTACTCCGATCTTGAGGGACCAAGAGACATAAGTGTCCTGAAAATGGCCTCCGATGTTCCATCAACCACACCCACTGCCATTATTGCTGGATGATCATCCCGATACTGATGATAGAAGCATATTTCAGAAACAAAACTATATTCTAAAATCAATACTTATATTAATAAAGATACCCACCTTCCGATGAAAATCGCAATCTTTTGCCTCTTTAAATAGCCTTAATCCTGCATAAGTTCTCATAATGTAAATATACGTTTGTTTACCTATACTAAAAAGCATATAAATAATTTAATGCTTGCCATTTTGACAGCCGAAAATTGTCCAAGGAGAAGGTGCGTCAACATCAGAAGTCATTCGATCCATTTGCATGGATGAACAAAGAGTCCAGTCTATGGAACTCATGTGTCCCGTCCTCTTGGAACGAGTTAACCTGTGACAAGAAAACAATACAAATAAAATAGTGTTTAAGAAAATTATGTATTTCTAAATGGTAACTGGTAAGATTATCAAGAAAAAGAAATGTAGGTTCAACAGCTCAACTGTCAGATCAACATTTGATGAAAAAGATTGCATGGACATATAACCATTGCTTCTCTTGCAGGATATTATGAAATCATGTCAATATGAAATTATGATTTTCAGAAAAAAAACAACAAAGACATCAGAAATTTCTAATCTAATAAAATATGCCTACATATCATGGTTGTACAAAAGAAGAGATTATGTGAATATTGGAAGCTCAACAAGTAGAACTTTGCATAACGCTTCTTGAGAACATTAAATTAAATGTACTCATCATGTATCCATAATTAAGAGAAAATTTGAACTTATTATATAAACCCACAGTCAAATAATGGAAGCAAACTGAGGCATAGGAATTGGAGTGAATTTTAGATTCTAAAATAAGAGCAACACCACCGATAGGAGAACCCCAGAATTAAGAAGCAACCTTCTTATCAGCAGTACTTAATTACCCTATTTTCATAGTGAATACTGATGCTTTCCTAATATCTATTAATTATGATAATAACAATGATAGTGGTGATGACAAGGACGTTAATAATAACAATAATAACAAAAGGGTCCACATGATGTATGGAGTGGAGTCTAGGTCAATGAAGAAGCAAGACCTGAGAAAAGGAATTTAATGGAGAAAAGGATGTTAATATGGGTAAGTGACAAGACCATAAATAATGAAGTAAGAGATAAATGTGTTTAGAGGAGTGCAATAATAGCCCCAATTGGTGATAAAATGGAGTAGAATCAGATGGTTTCTGCATGTAAATAGAAGACTTCCTATTGCCTAGTAAGGATTGATCTGATACAAGTTGATGGTTCTAGAAGAGCTAGAGGGGCTGGAAAAACTTGGCTGTAGGTACTGGAAAAGATCAGGACTCACAATATGACAGAGATCATGACTGTTGATAGAGTAGAATGGCCCAAAAGAAAGATTCATGTGATCAGGCACATATAGTAGTAAGGCTTTCTTCAATTGAGTTTAATAAAGGGTCCTCACAATTTCACTATAAAGACACCAAATCTCTTAAGATATAAATTTTGAAGGATGTCTAAAACAATAATTAGATGATCTAAAATGTCCATGTCTGTAATGTGTAAACATTAAAGATTTCCTAGCAGAACGGGGTCTTGTGCATCCTTTGTAAAGACTTTGTAAAAACTCTGTAAAGTGTAAACAATAATAAGGCTTTCTTCAACTGTTTCTTGTAACAGTCCTCAACTATGGGGTCTTGTGCATCCTTTGTAAAAACTTTGTAAAAACTCTGTAAAGTGTAAACAATAATAAGGCTTTCTTCAACTGTTTCTTGTAACAGTCCTCAACTGTGGGGTCTTGTGCATCCTTTGTAAAGACTAGGTATTATTACTCTTCAGCAATGAACCAGCTAAAGTTTTCATGCTTCTTGCTGCCTTCCAAGCTCTACTCATAAAGATTACCTTCTGTCCAGCAAACCAAAAAAACTATATGATGTTTGGAGCCTAACCTACATTAGATTATTTAATTAGGGGGAGAAAAGTAGTTACTTGATGCATGTATGCATGTGGATGAGCATGTCTGTATTCATGCATATCTTTGAATGAGAATTACAAACTAAAGCACCAATTATGCATAAAACTATTTCAACATGACAAATCTTAGAGAGAAAATCCTGCTATCTCATACAGAAGGAATATTTCTTGATAGATAAGTTTCCTGTTAGAATGAGATTGCAAAATATAAGTACAAAAGAACAAAATAATACATAACCAAGGAGTACAGTTCTTTCTTAATATGAACATGCCGATCCATAATTCACCTAAATGACTGCCATTTGCTCTTTGGAAAAGCTACGACATTTTCTCCTTGGTCTGGGCGCTCCTACAAATAAAAATAAAAAGGAAACAAAGAAAGAGAAAGAAAAGTCAGTATTTCAATTATATCAAGAGAAATATCTGTCTCAAGTTAGCAAAAGTTGGAATTTTGAAACCTTTAAAGCTGCTTCCTGAAAGGAACTAATCCATCTTGCTGCTTCTTCTGGACTACTTGCTCCCAACTATAAAGTTGACATTTCCAACCACTGTCGCCAATAAGTTGTCAATTTTAAACATAAACAAGGCAGAATGTTCATGCTTTACCATACCTTAAGCTGATCATTGTGATTAGAAGTATTGTAAAGTGTGAAAATAAAGAATACCTGCAAGTTGAAGGAAATTATCATTAGAAAACTGTAACAACAAAAGTATCACTAGATTCACTACTCATATGTTAACAGAAAATAAATGATAATGTATATATCACTGACTAAAAAAGGAAAAAATGAAGGAAAAAGGCAAAAGAAAAAAAAAAAGAAAAAGGTCTAGATTCATACTTTTCTGTGAATGCTCTCCCTTCCATTGTCAGTGACTCGGATGCAGGAATCTATTATTGCACTTCTTACAGGATCCTGACAAATAACAGAAACGGTTATAAGTCCTACAACTTGATAATGTTCAAATGATTAAACAGTTGAATCTGAACAGAACAATTTTTTCACACTTGTTTTTTGATTGGTAACCAGTAACTTGTATTAATTAAGAAAGTTAAATAGTAGTACATGGCTCTCATCCCGAGCTAAGCCCACATAAATCTTACGAGTACAATTTGGCTAAAATAATTGCTCCCTAAACAGCCCTTGCTTGCCTAAGGTAACTGCCAATGCATTTGCTTATCTGTTAACCCACTTAAAATTAGCCTCAACTTCTCTTGCTAGTCCCTTGATTTCCCTCATTACCTGTCTGAATACCCAAGGACCCTTGCTATAGTCCACCATCCAGCCCACTACCAATATGGAGTCACTTTCAATCTCCATTTGTGTCAGATTCAACTGCTTTTCTAGTTTTAAACCTTGTAGGAGGGCTGGAACTACTGCTGTTAACGAGTCTGCTACTCCTATTGGACCAGAGTAGACAGCCATTATCACCCTGCCATCTTTATAGGTTCTCGATATACCTGAGGGGCCAGGATTCCCATAGGAGAAATTTTCACACAAATCGACCATAGTGTAATTTAAATTGGATAGTGTTGCCAAATAAGTTCATTCTATCTATTCCTTCTTGCATCGGAACTTCAGATGGTCCTTCAAACTTGTAGAATCTTTAGAAAGAGGTGATGAGGATCATTCTAGACCTTTGAAGAACTGCTCTAGATGGAAGAAAGCCAATTAGTCAGGAAGTTCTGATTGGCATGATGACAATTCTTGGGAGATTTTTTGTCATTTTTAATTTACTGGTAATGAGGGTTTAGTCAATAGGAATCATTTGTCTAGTCGTTATGCAGTTAATTTTCAATTATCATAGTCACAGGTTTAGTAGACAAGAAGTTCTAGATGATATTTCTTATTTTTATGGTCCAGTGGGTTTTTTTTTTTTTTTGTAGTTATGATGAACAGTGGTTCATCATAATTTTTTTACCTATAGATTATTCTTGGGTAAATCTATGATGCTAGAAATATATGATACCAGAAGAGCTTTGACCAATCAAAACCCCCTGTGGATTTTGATGAATACCACCTGATTGATTACCACCTTTATGACATCTGTTGATTGGTTATAAGTTTTTTCTGATATCATGGCCGAACCCATTATTCTATTATCTTACTATTGAAGGATATGAATGAATGAAAGATTGAATATTTCTCTTGCATGCATGCTTATAGAGTGATTCCATTGAAATCTTAGAGTGGTCCTAGGTCTCCTTGGAGTGATTCCTAGGGTTATTTCTTTGTCTTATATTTTTGGATTGGTAACAGTGATAACTTTTAGTTATTAAAGACCATTACTCGACATTGGTCCCAGCTATCTGGGGTCTTGGGAGGGTGGACTGGATATGGTCCTAATCTTTTGCATTTTTTCTTTTTTTGCACAAAGTGGTTGCTCTCAGATTTGAACCCACATTCTCATGCTTGATAGCCTCAGATTTTATCATTACACCAAGTAATGATAAAATATTTACAAGTGATTAAAGCTGCATTATTAGGCTAGCAACTGCTACCTAATCCCATATCATAACATGGTAAGTTGCATTATAATTTTACACATTAAAATAACAAGGCCTTACCTTTCCAATATAACTCTATGAACAATTTAGTTTTTACTAGGGACCATTTGATAAGAGCCAAGTGGATGAACTGAATGACTCGTTGATTTGTCTTTTAGTGGATAAAATAATTAAATAATAAAATACTTGAGCATATGATAATCAATCCAACTTCAGTTTCAGCAGCTCACAACCTCCTTAATAACTTATTATTCACTAAAAGACAAAGCAACAAGCCATTCGGCACAGCCACTTCAGTTGATATCAAATGGCCCCTAAGTGGGCTTTCTGAATATCAGTTTTATTCCTCCCACCCCCATTTGTCAATTGGCTTACTAAACTTCTTTATTGTGGCATCCATTTAGAAGATTTCCTTTGTGGTGTTGTTGTGAAAGTTTGGTATGAACTCATGCACAAACAATTAGTTACTTCATGAATGTATCGTGTGTGTGTATAAATTAATCTATTGCATGCCATCTTCTTATGTGGTGTTGTTAGTTACTTTGTTGGTGGAATCTGCTAAACTTTCTTTCCATTTATGAGATCCTGTGTGCTGAACTAATAGTGCATTAGAAAAACTGCTCTATGTGAATGCTCTTCCTTTGAGGCTTCAATTTCATTGTGTAATTACTGATCCAAAAGAAGACACAGTGTAAGTCCCCACTGTGCAACTCAACATAGGGAATTTCATCATATAACTCCTAATTATCATCGCTATGCACATGAACAGCTTTGTAACATAATATTTCAATTATCATAAATTTCAAACTTCTGCTATTGTTTTCTTTCTCTTTTTGATGATTTTAAAATTCTTTTATGTCCCTAAGGCTGTATTCATTTGCAGTGCAATTCTGAACTGGATACAAATTTTGCATCAATCTGTTTGTAACCATCATTTGCATATCTACCACATATAAAATTTGGAGTATTTGTTTCATTTGCACTCGTAGATTTTGTATCTCAAAAATCGATGCTAAATTTGCACCACCTCCCTCCTAGATCAATTCTCTTTTATACATAGTGGGGATTACATCATCTTTCTTCTTACCTCACTTCCAAATAAATAACCTTCCTCCTACCCCCATTCTCTTTCATATAAGGGGACACACATGATTTTACTTCCTATTTTACTTATCACAAACAAATTAGACAAAGTCAAATTTGAAACAAAACTGTAAAAGTAAGTCAGAATTTGCACAGATAACAAACTGAGCCTAAACGACCGAACCTCAGAAACCATAAACCATCGAATTACAAAAGAAGGACCACATATCCTAAAAGATGATTGACGGACCAACAAATGAAGCTAAGCAGTCACCCTACAAATAAATAAAGAAACATCTAAGTAAAGTAAGCCTGAAATCAACGAAGCCTTATACCCCAACTAGTTCGCTTGGCTATTTCTGTTCCACCATCAATCATGCACGTGAAGAAGAAAAAACCAGAATATCATAGAAACAGCCAAGAACTTCAGGGCTCATTTGTCCCGATGGACAAGAATAAAAATAAGGATAATAGTGAGGAACCGAAAAAACGAAGCTCAAATACATCCAAAAAAATCTCGAGAAAAACTTGGGAAAAACAAATAATTTGTTAGCGATGCTTCAATATCTTTCTGGGGAGAGAAAATGGAAATGTATAAAAAAAAAGGAAGAAGCATGTTTCTGTAAAATGGATTGTTGGTAATATTGATCAAAGGATTAAGTTTGAAGAGAAATAACCTTCAAGTATAAGTGAAATCATGTTTAGATGGATATCCAAGTTAAAATAAGAAAAGCTATTTTGGACACATTGGTTTCTCCTCATGGAGAACATTCATATACAATAGAACACAATAAACCATTGATTTTCATCATTATTACATGTAACAAGAAAAAGAAGGAAAAAATCCGTCGTTTTGCATTCAAAAGCCGAAATTCGAAACAAACAAAGAACTCTGAGTTATAATTACCATCACTGAGTCATTACCCATTAAACTTTAAAGGGAATAGAAATAAAAACAAAATTACCTCTTTTCTCGATATTGGCGTTGATTTGAAGCTTGTGAGGCAGTGATCCTGGAGAATGAAATAGCGCTTTCGCGAGTACTGCAATCCAATCCGATTGGAACGAATGAGGTATAACCACCCTTCCATTGTGCCATCTTTTTGAGAGATCCCCATTTTTTAAATCCCCAGAATCCCCACCCCTTGGAATTCAACTCATTTCCTTTCTTATCAGAAGCCCAAATCCATTAAAATTTGAATTTTTTCTGCTTATTTTCCTTGTCAGAGTTGCAGAACAGGAGATCAGGCAGTTATGCAGTATGTACAAAGCAAGTCTTACAAGATCAATGGGGGATGAGATAATCCTCTAATCCCACCGAGAGAATCATTCGGGGGAAATATAGGCTGGATGTTCAGGTAAGCCTCCCGGACCCTGTTTCTTTCTTTCTCTCGTCAATGCATGTGTCAAAAACTTTCAACTTTCAAGTAACTGAATGGTGATGTTCCACCCATCATCACCCATGAGACAAAGATTGGCAAGAAAAATGATGTTCACAATGACGAAAATGCCCTTGATTTTGCGAGGAGATTGATTAAGTTCAAGCGGTTCAGTAACTTCAGATTTTTTAGCATTTGTCTACTTGAGTGCAAATACAAAATTACAAATTACAGCTACCTACTTCATTATATCTTTTATTTCTTGTCAAAAAAACAAAGAGTTCTATCTGTTATATATTATTTTAATTATTAAATGGAGTTATCCACGTCACAACTCCTTGCCGCTTTCTGTCCCTCCGAATTTTGTAACTTTTTAATATTTGAAAAAAATTAAACGTGGGTCCATCCATAGTTACCCACTATCAATTTAGTTTCCCTTTTATTAGGAAACTGAATCTAACCACTCTCCACTCTCCAAAATCTAAATGGTCGCTGGTCCATTGTCGATTTGCCGGTAGGAGATGGGCTTCCACCACGGCAAACATGTGCCCACACCGTCCTTCTGCGAGGTAGTAAAGGCTGCTCGAACAGGTTTTTTCCTTATCAAAATCGAATTCAGTGCAAAACCTATTCGAACAGTCGTTATAGCCTTGCATTGAGAATATCTCCCCATAAAATAAAACATAGAGATATAAAAATATTCCCAATACAAGACTGTTGGAACAATATTTGAATGGACCTTGCACTGACGGGAGCCAATTTCGCTGAATTTGAAGAGGTAAATATCATTCGCATCCAAGTGTCCAACCTTCAACCTTTGGCTTTGGGAAACAAGGTGGCTCATTTTTTATTTCAAGAGGCTTTAAACTCAACTCTCTCAGTTCCTAAACAACGGCAACATAATACTTTGGTGGAGTCTTTTTTGAGCGGTGTTAGTTTGGATAGTTTGTAATTTTACCTATCCATTCAAGATTTTATGCTTGATTGTATCAAATATCAAACGATGGAAATTAACTATTTTAAAACAGAGATCTCTCTCAAAGCGTTGATGAAAATCGATCACAGTGTTTTCCAAAACCAGATGAGACCGAACAGTGAAAATTAACTATTTTAAAACACAGATCTCCCTCAAAGCGTTGATGAATTAATCACAGTGTTTTCAAAGCCAGACCGGATTGAACGGTCAGACTAGAAAAATGATGAACCAGTCGCCTCACCAGTTTTCAAAGCCAGACCCTAAAATCGTTTTTTTGGTCAAAAACCATTGAACCGCTGATTCAAGCAGTCGAACCATCGATCCAAACAATAATTTTTGACCATTTTTTGTTTTTTATTTTTATTATTAGAACGACTATCCATTCAAACCGTTCAAGCTGGGAACCAGTCCCTGGGATGATTCCCTGTCCAGTTCAGTTTTAAAAACCTTGATTGATCATTATCAAAGTGTTCTAATGGATAAAGAGTTGAAATAACCATGTTAAAGTTAGGACTTTAGAAAGCTAAGAAGGACGAAATGGTCTTAAAAAATAATATTGGGTAACTTGGAGTTCTAAAAATATTTAAATGAAGGGTTAGACTATGATATTGGAAAAACTTACAGCCAATAAACTGGTATGATAAAGAGATAACCAATCAGGTGGTATCCATTAAAGATTATAGGGTGCTTTGATTGGTGAAAGCTCTTCCCATATCATATCTTTCCCCTATCATAGATTTTCCCTTAAGGCCCCGTTTGCTTTTTGATAAATTATTTACCCAGGCAAATGTATTTATTCGAGTAAGTGTTTCTTAAGAAAGACTTGCCTTATTCATGTTCTTTTATTTCCCATGTAAATAAGACAATGACCATCTTAATCATAAAAATCCATTATTAAAAGGGGCATCTTTGTCCCATTCAAGTATCGACAATTTTACTCTCATGTGAGAAGGTTATTTATCCAACTAGGAGATGGGTATCATTTACCTGGTGATACCCAGGAAAATACACTTTCCCTGATCCCCACATAAATCTGAAAAAAAAAAACATGGGATTTTTAGTCAATAAGAATCAAAATCCCATTGACCAACTTCCCCTTTTCAAAATCCAAAAAAAAAAAAAAAATGCCCCCTAAGTGAATATTCGGTGAAATTAACTTATGGAATGACTCTGTGTGTCTTTTGTAAAATAATAGTGATTGGAGGAATCCATCCAAGCTGTTTTTTTTTTCTGATTTAATTATTTTCCATTCTCTAGTATTATCTCCTAGTACTTGTAGCTTTTACATTTTCAGTTGAAAAAGTAATTCTAACAATTGCGTTGGATAAACTAGATAGCACCATCACCATGAGATCAAACAACAATTCAAAGTGTCACAGGCAATGTGGTATCTATAGTTACAAGTTGCAAGTCCCTGATCAGGCCAATTCAATCAGAAACCATTGAGCAGTGTTAATCCAATCATAACAGAAAACCTCTACAACAATCCTATTCCTATTCCATTGCCTCACTCTATATATATCTAGGATTATATCTTCTCTTTTCTTCTTATTTTAGATACTGATATTTTCCGCTTAAGGAAATAGATGAAAATGATGAATTAACTTCTCATATATGGTAGGCTCCTTGATATTCCCCAGATTATAACTAATTATGTCTGATACCTATAAAGTAATACTTTCTCAAAGAATTTTATATATTCATGTATATCAAAGGAATAAGAAAACCAGATTAGGTACATTAATATTGCTTGTCAAGGGCCACACTGGTTGTTTAATTCCTTTTCCTTCTAAGTTGTACCATCTCTATGACCAATCTGAGATCCCATCCTTTTTCCATCTTTAATTTCTGAATGTGGTTTCTATCAACAAGGTTCGAAATATTGTTATGTATCAGTTGATACATATCGTATCGGGGCCTTCTCGATATGCTCCTATAGGGAATGTACCGGGACAGGCCATGGTTCAGAGGGTAGCTGGCACTTAAACTGATCCCTCTGAACCAATTTAAAAATATATATATATATATATATATATATATATATATATATATATAAAAGCACCGATACAGGCCGGTACACCCTACCGATGTATCGGCATGTATCAACATTTAGAACCTTGCTATCAACAATGATCATGGCTTGTGGTTTCAGTAATATAATCTACTGTTCTCATCATCATTAGACAAGGAAACTTATGGGTTAATTTTTTTATCTACTGTATTTTGATCTTTGAGGATAACTTAGGATTTGAAGATTCTTTAGGTAATTAAACCATTGTTATTTTCATAATTCATCTAATTTAGTTTAGATTTACACATTAGATTAAGTCAAAATGTTTAGGTCTTCTAATGTAGTCAAAGTCCGATACCTGATTCAACATTTTTTGGATAGAAATTCAACATCCAATTTGATTATTTGGGATTTGGATGTTAAAACCTTCATCTGTCAATCCTATTCCTCTTCCATTGCTCATGCATAAGTTGAAAAGAATTAGTTCTTTTAAACTTCGAAAATTCTCTTTATTTTAATGACAATAAAATAGGTTCAGATTTAGTTAAATCCGATCAAAATCCAACTTGATGATCACAACCTTAGATGTGTTCATTCATAGCGGGGGTAGCTTTTATGAAAGGTTAGGTTAGGTTAGCTCAATATACTTAAAATTGGTAATGCAACTTTCTACCACCATCAGTAGTGTGGTTTCAAATCCTTTTATTATCATCTCTCTAAAAGAAAAGAGAATTGTGTAATTGTTTAAAATTATTGATGTGATGTTATACTATTAAATATTACGTGTCGTATAGTTTTGTGATTCACTCCAATTTGCGCGTTAATTAAATTCCAAAATCCAAATGGGAAATGGGGCTCCTCGCTCTCACTCGCCTACTAACCGGCTAGAAAGTACTAATGACATACATTAATTAGGTTTGCGAATGGGTTTTTGCTTACGTGCTCTTTTCTTTTCGTTTCGTATTCTAATTTCCAACTCGCGATTGCATTAGACGATATCAACCATCCACCAACAACCAAACGATGCATCATTCCTTTATGCCAAGTGGCAGGTAAGAGCTTTGGGCTCTGAACAATACAACAGAAGAAGTAATGTTTCGGATATTTGATAAGAACTGATTTAAATATGAAGTTAGGAAGCCATATCTAATATATATGAGGAATGGCAGATTGGCAATGGAGTGGGGATCATACTCTCCGTATCATCCCCGGTTTCAGATGAAGGCAGATTTTTCATCAGGGATCCGAATTTCTAAATTTTTAAAAAATAGATTTATTTAAAATATAAAAATATTTTAAATATTGTATTATAATATATTTTAAATATATAATATAATATAATCGGGTCAAAGCGGAGGTGGAAAATTTACGCTTTCGTCCCCAATTGAGTATCATTATCAATCCCATTTTGGACCTATCCCATCTCCGACCTAATGAGTTCGGAGAAGAAGGTAGCTGATGGGGACAGGGAAGAGCACAAAGCATAAAATTGGTCTTGATAATAAGCACAAATCCTGAAATTTAAACACAATCATATCTTGGTTAGCAGCTAATGTAACTCTTACATCTTAGGTTATAACTTAGAGCATCAAAGGGCAGGCAGGCAGGCCAACAACCAAAAGAAAATAAAAATAAAACTATATATTTTCAGATGTCTCTTCTGAAACATTACAAACTCTAATTTGCTGGCTTCATGATTCTATGTTTTAAGAAATGATCGATGGTAGCTAATTCAAGTTGCCTGTAAACGAATGCCAGCTCTTCTTACCTACCTGTCTCCATTTCTAATATAATATTTTGTTACTTGCTTCTCTGGTCCACCATATAGTCAAGTGATTACTCAAGTAAGGATTAAATTTCCAAAATCGTCTCGATAACACCTGAAGAAATTAATTGATTATTATGTTAATAATATAATTAACATGTTATAATTGCCTTTCTGCATTATACATATGACTTCCATTTCCAAGGAAGTTGAATGAGCTAACATGGTGTGTGGATCAAGGTTAAAAGTATCGTTATAGATAGGGCGTATCGGCTTGTATCAAAATATATATATATATATATATATATAT